TGTCCTAAATGCTTCAAGGCAAGGTCAGCCCTGACTCCCAGGCTGCTCCTTTATGTAACTGGCCTCCTTCATGTTTGTGCTCAGCATCCCGCTCACTCTGCTCCTTCAATCCCAGACACCTCAGTACCAGCCAGTCCAGACGGCACCAGCAGGTGAGGCCAGAGTGGGAGCGCTGACTGCAAGACCTGCAGAGCTCCGTTCTGATTGTTGTGCTCTCACCTGAATTAGGTCATCACTTTAGAATGAGATGGCTTCTCAAGGTCACCTCCATCTCCCTTCTGGGGTCTGGCTACATCTGGGTCTGTCTGGGTCTAGGGTCTTGGTGCCCACTTACCTGTCCAGCCCATGGCAGACACTGCCACACTCTCCCCTGCTCCGTAGACAGCTGAGACCAGGACCTTGTACTTGGTGGCAGCTAGCAAGTCAGAGAGCACGGTGTGGCTCCTGGGCCCTGGCACAGAGATCTGAGGGGCAGGAGTCACCTAAGTGGGCTTCTCCTGGAGGAGCTCACTATGAGGCTTGGCTTTTTTCTGTCTGAGGCCACACTCAGCACACAGGGTGGGCCACATTTCACCCACTGACCTCCCGCACCCTAGAAGGTCCCTCAATGGGTGGCTGCTGCTCTCCGCAGACTTACTGATTGCTCAGGTCCAGAGCCTGTGGCAGGCGTGTAGGTGAGCCGGTAGTGGAGAACATGGCCACTTGGGGGTGTCCAGCTGACCTGAAGGCTGTTGGGAGTCTCCGAGGACAGAGCCAGGCTGGAGGGAGGACTTCTGCTTGCTGCAGCTAGCAACAGCAGAGGCAGTGTGGGGCTCAGGGTCCTCCACAAGGGGTCACTCTGCAGGCAGGGGACCTAATCTGTGCTGAACTGGGCACTCTGCTTCCCAACCTGCACCACGCCCCCATCGCTGCACCACGCCCCCAGTGCCACACCACATCCCCAGTGCCACACCACGCCCCCAGTGCCACACCATGCCCCCAGTGCCGCACCACACCCCCAGTGACACACCACATCCCCAATGACACACCATGCCCCCAGTGCCGCACCACACCCCCAGTGCCGCCCTAGGCTTCCCAGTGCGGCACTCAGATATCAGCCCCCACAGCAAGTCCTGCTGTCCCAGCACAGAGCTATCATCCATGCCTGGTGATTTGGACCCTTGGTCAACTCTGGAACACCTGTCCTCCACAGGAGCTCACTGAAGCCCCACAACTGCCAGCAGTCAGGCCCAGGGGTCAGGGACTTGTGGACTCTGCCTGCCAGTGGTTTGGGGTCTGAAGTCTCAGGGGAGTCTGGGTTCTCCTTTGGGTTGGTCCTGCCCCAATCTAGAAAAATAGAGAGAGGACTACCTACAGGGGGAGTAGCGGAGGGACACAGGGTCACTGCGGGCCCCGTCCCTGTAGTAGGCCAGGATGGTGATCTCGTACTCTGTGTGCTTCCCCAGGTCAGGCAGGACGGCTGTGCTCAGGGTTCCTGGGACAGAGATCTGGAGAAATGAGAGTCTAGGTGTTCACCGGCTCATGGAGAACCTCACGCTGGGGGCCTGGATCCCAGGCCCCGGGCAGAAAGGTGTCCCCAGGATGCAGAACTCGGGTGGGCACACGGGGCCCAAGCCCCGGCTTGGCCTCAGCACCTGGGGTGGGAGGGTCTCCTCTGAACAGCCAGCCTGCCCTCCCTACCGCACCTCATGGGCCTGCCCCTCTCCCAGGGGTGTCCACTTGATCTGGTAGACCAGTACGCCCGATGAGGCTGCCGCTGCCCACACCAGCCTGACTGCATCCCCTGGCAGCTCTGTCACCGACAGCTGGCTTGGGCTGGGGGCTTTCCCTGGAAAGTGAGGCAGCAGCTGGGCTTAGAGTGCTGGCCAGAAGCCAAGAAGGACACACAGAGGAGTATCCCTGAGTTCCAGGCCACTGTACCCTCCCCTCACACCTCTCCAGCCACTTGCCCCACCTGGCTCAGCTCTGGCCCAGAAGAGATGCTCAGTGGACGTGTGTTGATTTAAATGGTCCAGTAGAGCAGGACCAGCCCATCCATCTCGCGGCCCCAGACCTGACCTCCCGATACTCACTTGTGGTCACACGGCCAGTCAGCGTGGAGGAGCCTCCCCCAAGGTAGAGGCAGGTGATACGAACAGTGTAGGTGGTAGAGGAGAAGAGGGGTCCCAGAGCAGCCCATGTAGCATTCCCAGGAGCCTCTGTCTGTAGGGGGCATGGGCAGACCCAGTGGGCACCCAGAGCCCCTCTCAGGGCAGAGATCCAGGCCTGGGACCTGCAGCCACCACTACTCTGTGGCCCCAAAAATGCAGAAAATGGGGTGGACCAGAGACCCAGGAAGCCCCCCATAGACCCTGAAGTGGGGGCACCTACAGCTGCTCCATGGTGTCACTGCATGTACCTGTATTGATTCTCTACCTCATGTCCCTCCAGATCCCACTGGAGTCCCTCAGTGGACAAGGTGGGGCTAAAGACATGAGCCCCCAGGTCAGGTGTGGGGGACTGGGCAGTCGTGGGTGCGACACGCCAAGCAGGGAGAGGCCTGGGAGACTACATGGTGGGGCTGAGGGTTCTGGGCCCCCCCCCCACGGTCTGCACGTGCACCCTGGTCCCTCAGCAGCTCTCACCACACTTGAGCCCCAGGCAGGTCCTCTCACCTGCCCTGAGTGACCACCATCACTGGAGATGTAGCTGACCCTGACCAGGCGCATGGGCCTCTGGGTGCCCTCCCAGGACACACGGGCTGAGTCGTGGCTCACGTCTGAGAAGCCCAGGTGCCTTGGTGGGGCCAGGGCAGCTGCAGAGCACAGCCAGGCTTCAGGGGATGGCATGCCATCCTTGCCCCGTGCCTGAGGTGAGGATGGGAGGGGACAGAGAGGTCTGGGGCTCCTACCATGGAAGCCTCTGGAACCAGAGGGGACACTCACGGGTCCTGATGTGGATGCTCTGGGCCTCACTGGCCTCTGGCCCTCGCAGGCTCTGCACCAAGATCTGGTAGTCCCTGCCTGGTTCCAGGCCGTCCAACAGCACCTCAGGCCGCCCTACCTGCACCTGGGGAAGGGAACATGCTGTCCCTGTGCCCAGCCCCGCCCCCGATGCCCCCCCACCTTTCTCCTCCCCTGCCCCCAGGCGCACCTCCTTCTCTTCCTCCTTGCCCCCTGGGGAGGCTGATAAGCATCGAACCAGGTACTGGGTGGCCCCGGCAGAGGACTGCCAGGCCAGGCGGAGCGTCCTGGGTGTTGCTGTCACCAGGGTCAGTGCCCGCGGTGGAGGCAGGGGTGCTGGGGAAAGGCGACTGTCAGGGGCACTTTGGGAACATGGCATGTGCATAAATCATGCCCACTGTCAAGGGGGCCCTCCTCTAACCACAAAATGACTTCTCTAAGTCCAAGTTTAGATGTTCCTCGTAGGCAACATCGTGGGGCCCAGGAGTCTAAGCACTTTTCCAAACTTCACTGAGGCCAAGTTTGGGGGCTCGTGGCTGTTGGGGAGCTGGACCTCCCCGCAGGTCTAAGGCCATCTGCCCCAAGGTGGGGGGTGCAGCCTCCAGAGTGCTTCAGGGGCCTCCCAAAGGCCACGGGGTATGTGGTGTGGTGCTGTTTCTCTGAATGACAGGACACAGAGCAGAGAGAGGGTGCAGGGCTGGGCAAGGGGCTGAGCAGGTGGGGAGGGAAGCTGTGGTGACAGCTGCCCATCTCTGGATCACTGACAGCCCCTGCACCATCCGCTTTAACTGGGTACTTTGGTGGCATGTGGCTCCTCTATCAGTAGAACTGTTAAAGGAGCACTCCTGGCAATCCTTTGGCCATGTGACCTTAGCCATGTGCTGTGGCCAGGCAGGGTGGGGGCTCTGAGGACAATGTGAGCAGGGTAGCAATGGCTGAGGTGTGGCAACAGAATGAATGACTCTCCTGGTGTTCAGAAGAGGACACCAGGGTAGAGGGGCCCAGGGACTGAGACTTGTAGGGATGGTTCTGACCCAGGTTTGCCGACCGCACCTCCCTGCTGGTGCCAAGCCCCAAAGGGAGAGAAGGGGCCACATGCACCCCACCTACCTGTAGTCACCAGACCCTGCAGGCCCTTGCCAACCCTATCCTTGTAGACAGGGAGCACAGAGACCAGGTACTCGGAGCTGGAGGTCAGGTTGCAAAGCTGCACAGATGAGGCGGGCCCTCCAATCACCAGCTGAAACAGAACAGAACTGGGTGGCATGGGGCACAGAGGGACAGGGCACAGGGCAGGAAAACTGCTGGCAGGGGTGTGGATGTCTCCCTTCCTGCAAATCAGGGTTCCCAGCGTGGAGCAGAGCAGCAGCCTGCTCTGAGGGAGCATGGGCAGAAGACAATCACTTAACCCATCCCCTGCCAATCAAAGCCACACCCCTGGGTCCTCAGCCACCCCCAATGGCCCTGCTTGCAGCTTCCGCTGTGGCGCACATGAACAGGGCCAGCCTGTCTCAGCTCCCAAGCCCAGGGAGGCTGTGGCTCCCACCTTGACTCCAGCTCAGCCTTATCAGATTCCTGCCTGAGCCGAGGCTCGTGAACCCCGTCAGCTGCCCTGCTCCGTGTGGCTGGGGGAGGCCGGGATCCCTCTCACCTCTTGGGGGGGGCCACCCCTGGACGACTGCCACACGATCAGATACTCAAGGGGCAGCTGGGGGGCTGGAGTCCAGGACACGTGGACGCTGGAGGAGGTGATCTGGGTCAGGACCAGGCTGCTGGGCCCTGGGAGGGGTTCCAGGGCCGGAGCATCTTCTGGAGTGACTGTGGATGGGCAGGGTGGTGGTCAGGGCCCAAGTGGCCAGCTCTGTCTGCTTCCCTGGTGGCTACTGAAGAGGGACAGGAGGATCACTCCCCCAGGCCCTCCACAACAGATGCCCCAAGTGGGGGCTCAGGCCCCTCAAGGCTGTGGTGCACCACGTGGGAGCCATGGCCCCCTGGCCCTCTGCCCACAGCAGCTGGTAGGGCCTGGAAGGGTCCCACCCCCTCACCTGGGGCCCTGCTCAGGCTCCTGCCTTGCACCTTCTGGCAAATGAGGCGGCTGAGCAGTCCAGCTAGGGTGGCCAGCTGGGGGAAGTCCAGCACATTGTGCACAGTGATGTCCAGGGGCTGGGATGCCAGGACCTTCAGCTCTGCCTCATCAGCATTCTTCACACCTGCTCGGGGGCAAAGGAAGCAGGTTGCCACCTGGCTGGCTCCTCGTCCAGCTTGATGGAACTACAGAGGGGCCACATGCCTAGGACCCTATGGGGCCCAGTGAGAGACAGGACCAAGGCCAGGCTGAACCTCACCTGAGCCCATGCCAGGTGGGCCCTGGAGCTGGGCAGAGGGTCAGACCATATAGGTGCTGGGTGGAGTGCATATGAGAGACTAGGGGTTCCCAGGAGGACCCCCAAGTCTACAGTTTCTTCCCCATAGGACAGGGTTGAGTATCAGGGAGTGCAGAGGCATGACCCTCCTGGTGGCAGCCAGGGCAGGAGGTGGGTGGGTCGCCAGGCACAGAGGTGCTGGCCAGGTGAAGGATGGGCTTGCAGGCTGCTCAGTGAACACGGCACAAAACCTAGTAGGGTGCTGGCAGTGCCCAAGTGTGCAGGTGCTGGCTCCAGTGTACACCCCAGAGCAGGGATTTACTGCCTAGGCACCACAGCAGTGGAAGCTGAGGCCCTGAGGCCAGGCCCACCCGGTTCCACAGCCACGAGGGTGAAGCCAGGGTGCAGACTCATCTGCTCTCCAGAGCCTTCTAGCTGCGAGAGAACTCCAGCCCAAGCTGCACAGGGCTCACCCACAGCGAAGACGTCAATGTCCAGGTCCTTGAGGACGCGGGCAGCAGTGTGCACATCATCCTGGGACTTGCCATCCGTCACGAGAATCACCACTTTGGCTGCCTCTGGACGGAGACCAGCTGAAGGTTTCAGGTTCTGCCCCAGCACATGGGTCAGGGCAAGGCCTTGGGAGCAGTAGGAATAAACGGCAGGTGCTACTGGCTGTCAGTGGCTCTCGGGTGCCTCTTGGCCTTGGCTGTTCCTAGGCTCTCAGTTCATGCCCCGCCCCAGCAGTCTAACCCCACCAGGCTGAGGCACCCAGGAGCAGGAGGCTCCTCTTCTTCAGGAGGGCATTCATGGTCAGCACGGCAGCACCCAAGTCCATCTAGACACATGCAGGGGTGCCGCAGTAACTGTGAGGTCAGAGGGGCCACTCACTTTCAGCAAGATGTGGGAGAGAGGCCCACGTTTTTGCCAAAGACAACAAAGAGTGCTTCTGCCCTTCATGAAGGTATTTCCCCAGCTTCTCACAAGTTTTCAGGGTGTGAGGTGGACCAACAGGGCAAGCAAGGGTTCAGGGTCCACCCAGCAGATGTGGGGACAGGTGGTACCTGTGAACGTGTTCCCTCCCTTGTAGCGGAGGCCATGCACAGCTGCCAGCACCTCCCCACTGCTGCGGAAGGAGTTGAGGTCCCACTCGGTCTGGGGGTCTCCACTGTATTGAGTCAGGCCTGCAGGGAGGGGTTTTGGGTTGGGCTGTTTTGGGTCAGACCATGCAGGCCAGGACCCATCCTGAGGTTGCCGGCTCTGCACACAGCCTCCTGGGGTCCCCCGGGGATACAGTTTTGCAGGGCCCAGATTGGCCTGCTGGGGGCAGCCTATCCTGCAGACGAGGTTAGCAGCCCCAGTTGGAGCAGGGGGCTTGGCACAGGGAGTGGGCTGCGTGACCCGCACAGACCTCGGACTTCAGCCAGCAGGGAGCCTCTGCCTGGCTGTGGGCAAACCTGGAAGGCTAGGGCTTCCCTCAGCTGGAAAGGCCTTGTGAGGGCTGACCCTGGGGCAGGCTGAAGGGTAGTACCCACCTACTTGGACTTTATCGGGCCCAATCTCAAAGGGTGAGATGACACTGGCCAGGAAGTTCTTGACGTGCTGGAAGTGGCCACGGCCAATACTCCAGGACCCGTCCACCAGGAAGACCATGTCAGTGGGTGTGGGGGGAGTGCAGCGGAACTCAGGGCCAGCTGGGGCAAGAGGGGGTGAGATGCTGGGTGAGGCCCCTGAGCTGCTCTTGGTCTGGCTGCAGACCCCAGAACCACCTTCCCTGAGGTTAGCTGGGTCTTGAGGGGACAAGGGCTTGGAGGACTGCTGAACAGAAAATCCCATGGACACGCTGGTCAGTGCTCTCAGCCCCTCTGAACCCTCCAGAAGGAGAGCTGACTGTAGCCTTAGCTCTGGGGGCTGCGTCTGCTCTCCACTAGTGTCCACGCAGCCTGCCTCCCTACAGCCGAGATGTCTGCATCTGCCCAGGCCCAGATGCCCATGGGTTGGTTGCTGAGGGGTGAGGGGGTCAGTCCACAGACAGCTCAGGCACAGCCACCTGAGAATGAGGCAGTGCTGCTGCTGCCCAGAGGAGGCCAGCTGGGGCTTGTCTGGAGGCCCCACAGCTCCATGGAGACAAGGAACCCCTGTGTGGTTTCCCTGACAGTTGTGCAGGGACCATGCCAGGCAGGCTGGGCCCCGAGTCAGGCAGACTCCAGGGACTAGGCCCCCAGCATAGTTGATGTGCTCCACCCCTGGGGGTCAGACCACAGTGTGAAGCGGGAGGCCCAACCCCGCCCTTAGGGCCCTGGTGGGTGGGGTGTAGTCCGACAGGCCCCAAGTCACTGGAACACAGAGTGGAGGCACAGGGCCCTGGACACAAGAACTCCCTTGAGAGGGGTGGTGCCAAGGGTGACAGAGCCCTTCCCTCAGCTCCAAGCCCAGGGGCAGGGGCAGCCCCTCCCTCTGAGGAACCCATTGACAGGTCGAGCCTGGAGGCAACCCTACCATCCGGCCCTGCACCATGCCACAGAGCACCCACTTACCTAGCTTCTCTCTCTTTCTGGCCGGGGCCACAGAGTGGCTCTGCCTCTCCAGGTCCGGGGGATGTTGAGCGGGATCCTGCGCCACAGGGCCCCAGGACCAGTGCTGCTCAAGCTGCTGCTGACCCATACTGGGTATTCCTGGGGGTGGAGAGTCAGCTGCCACCTTCACCTCCCAGACCAGGGGGCTCCCAAGGGATCTGCTACCTCTGCCCCCAGTGCCTGGATTTGAGAGAAGCTAGGAGCACGACAGACAAGCTGAAGTTAAAGCTGGAGAGTGCTCTGTCAGACATAGGGAAGAACTTCCTGGCTACATGGTGAGAAACAGGAGATGCCCCAGGTTGCTCCCTTCCTCCCCAGCAGCTCACTCTCACTCCACTTTGACACACCGAGAATGGGAGGGTCTTGGCCTGGGGTGAAGGTGACTCTGGAGTCAGAGGCCTGCTCAGGATCTGGGGCTCCCCTGTGGGAAGGGGTGGGCTCCAGAGCTGCCCCTGGTGGCCTCTGGCTACTCTTGCCCAGGGAGTTACTCTTCAGGTCTTCAACTGCAGAGAGATGAGGGGCTGTCAGGACACCACCCTTGAGGCTGAGAGCTGAGGGCCTGCACACACACTCTTCCCAGGAGAGCACACAGTGGGCTCCACAAACCACCCTCTGACCCCGGGGCTGGGCAGAGACATCAGGAGCAGGAATCAAGACCCAGAGGCACCTCATGGAGTGAGCCAGGGTACCAACCCAGGTCTCGCCTCTCAGCCCAGAACCCTGGCATCCACGTCCACCCCAGACTGGGATCCAGGGCAGGACAGTGGACTTACTCATAAACTCCCTCCGTACCAGCAGGACAGGCCCAGAGCCAGTGAGCTTGAAGATCTGCAAGGTGTAGCCCTTGGAGGGGCTCAGGCCCCCCACAGTGGCCTTGGGGATCTTGGTAGTTAACATCACTTCCTGTTCCGAGTCCCCTGCAGTGGGAGTGGGAGAGCCATTGAGACCACCAAGGTGGGTGCATGTGTGTGCTTACATGCATGTGCAAATGCACACCTGTGTGCACGTGGGACAAGAAGCCTCGAGGCTGCCCCCCAGTTCCTCCCTGGAGGCCAGGGGAGAGAGGAAGGTGTGGTGTGAAGCCCTCTGTGGTGGTGGGGAGAACCTGAGGAAGCCGTCCTGGGACGAATGTCATATGCCCTTCTCTGAGGCTCCTCTTCTGAGGACAGCTGCAATCAAACATGGAAAACAAAGGCGGGACCCAAGAGGACCCTGGCCTCCTCAGAGGGCAGACCAGAACTCATGGCCAGGGCAGGCTGGGAGATGGCATCCAGCCTGCAGAAGTGCACAGAGCCTCTGGCCCCAGTGCCAGGACGGGAGGAGGAGAAGGGGGCCACATACACCTGGGGAGGGAAGCAGTGAGGACACGAGGACACCAGGCTCACTCTTGGCTGAGTGTCACGGTGGCATGAGGTGTGGGGGTATGCAGAAACAAAGGGGGCAGGTTCCCGCTGTCAGCCACTAGCCTTTATTGAGCACTTGCTGTGTTCCTGGCCCCAGCCCAAGCACTTCAGGGGGATCAAATTGTGGGGGCCTCACAACCTCACCATGCCCATCTTGCAGAGGGGGATCTAAGGCAACAGTGACCACCACAGCTACTCAGTGCAGAACAGGACTTAAACCCAGGAATGCACACCCTTGACCTGTGATGGTCCAGCGCCCTTAACCTCAAGTGACATTTGATTGCCATGGTAAGTGTCACAGGGCACTGCCTATTTTGTGGAAGTGGTTTCCTGATAAGTGGGAAGATTTAACCAGTAATGTTTCCTTTCATTCTTGTCCCCTCCACCATGTCATGGTAGCGCCAGGCCCTCCAGATGACCACACCATGTTCTTGGGCTCCCAACCTCCAGGGCCATGAGCCACATAAGCTCCCATTGCCTACATATGCTGTCACAGCAGAAAGGGACTGGACACAAGCCCACCAGCAGCAGTGTGCAACAGCCTACAACTGGGATGCCTGAGATTTGACGTGGGTACAGAGCTACGGGGTGTGGAGGGTGCATGGGAGTGCTGCTCTGAGGCTCTTGCACCCCTGGAGAAAGGCCACAGCTGCAGTGGACATAATGGCTGGGGTTTCCCAGGTGGCCACAGCAGGGTAAATTAACAGGTAACTTCTAGGCTGAGGGGACACCTGTCCACGTCCCACCCCTATTGACTAATCTTCACTTCACACACACACAGTCAGCAGCCATTGTTGGTGGCCCAGCACTACCGCCAAAGACTCTTGTCAGCGAATGTTCTCAGACTGTAATCTAGGGACCAACTTCCAGGCCACAGGAGACAGCATCACAGGGACGCCTCTGCAGAACAAGAACCCTGCATCTTGTTTCTTCTACAAATAAGTGTCAAGGAAAGAGCAAGAGGTGAACTACGCAAATGAGAAGTTACTTGAGACGTGGGAGCCCAACAAGATGTGTGGATTCTTAGGGGTCCCAATTCAGACAAGTCAACTGTAAAGGCTAGAAAATTAGGTTAGAAAACTTAAACAAACTAAATGTTTAACAATTCTGAAGCAGCAATATAGTGGGGTCATTTGAAGGGTAGTGGGCTGTTTTCAAGCCTGTTCTTTTACAGGACATACTGAAATTTTGAAAGACAAAATTACATGACATCTAGGATTTACTTTAAGATACCAGTGTATGGAGGGAGTTGAGGGCCAAAGTGAAGTGACAGTGGCTGCATGTTGGTAACTGGAAGCTGAGTCTCAGAATAGGGGTTCATTGTGCTACACTTCCTTATGAGTGTGTTCAGATTTTTCCATGAAAATATCAGCTCAGAAGTCAAGAAAGGAGAATAAAATCGACAATGAGAATAACAAAAAGGAAACAAATAGGAAGATGGTAGATTTAAACTCAAATCAATAATTTCACTAAACATAAATGGTTAAATTTTATCAATTAAGAGGCAAAAATTGTTGCACTGGATGAAGATGACGCCCTACATATGCCACTTAGAAGAGAGGTCAAGAGTGAAAGAACTAGAAAATATCCTTAATGTGAACACTACCTGCTGTAGCAGACTGACAGACAAAAGCAGGAATAGGGTGGAACACAGCTCCATAAGAGGCCCTCCACAGTGGACAGGTCCTGTCTGCCAGGAGACGTGTGGGTCCTGGTCATGTTGCACCAGACCAGGCCTCTGCATGTGAAACAAGACCTGTGGGGAACATGCCCACAGCCACAGTAGAGACCCAAAACGCTTCTCACTGACGAACCAGATAAATGGACACAAAATCAGTAATGACACAAGAAGCTTGAAACATGAAATAAATAGATGGGCTTAATGTGAGCACTGGAAAGTGTTACCCAGCAACTGCAAACTGCATGTACTTTCAAAGTCAAATGGGACATTAACCAAATTGACCATACGGGGGCCATAGAACAAGGTACCTTCCAACACATTAAAATCACATCAAGCATGTCTAACCACACACAATTAAGAAAGAAATTCAGAACAAAATGTAGGTAGAAAATCCCTCCTGTTTTAAAACCAAGAAATTTACTTGTAAGTACCTTATGGGTCAAATAAAATCGTCACAATAAAAATTAGTAGATATCTTAAATTGCATAATGACAATTTTACATATCAAAATATAGCTGCAAGCTGGGCACGGTGGTACACTCATCCCAGCAGCTGAAGCCGGTGGATCCAAGTTCCAGGCCAGCCTCAGTAACTTAGTAAGACCTTGCTTCAAAATAAAAAATTAAAAGGGATAGGGTTGCAGCTCAGTGGTAGGACACCCCTAAATTCAATCCCTAATACTGAAGAAAAAAAAAAAACCTTTAAGCAAGATATCTGCAAATCAACTCAGCAATACAGAATGAGGATGAAGAACACTGACCTAAGGGTTGTTGGGCTGGGTGTCCTGTGGTCTGAGCCTGCACTGGCCCTTTAGGCATCATCGTGGTCCCAGCTCTATTACTAGAGTGGACACTTGGGCCAGGCACTCTGCCCTTATTCAGCCCACATACTTATTGGCACGCAGAGTCCAGGCCATTCTGAAAGCCCCTAAAGGCCCCGAGGCTCATTTTGAGGAAATAGTCCTTGCTTAATATGTGTATACTGAGCACCTTCTGTGTGCTGTGTGCCAAGGATGCGGATGGGACACAGAGGTGTATGTGTCCTCAAGGGAGAGAGGAAAAGAACACAGAAACCATAGGGACTGCATTGGGGGTCATGGCCCACCATACAGGGGTGAGGCTCAAGAATGGAGGGGAGCTGCTGGCCTGCACGAGACAGTGACCACCATGCTGACACCCCAACACAGGGAAGGAATCAAGGAGGAGAGAGGTACAGACCCCTTACCTGCCATGGGCTTCACCTGCACCAGGTAGCCCAGGCCACTCCCCACTGACTCTCTCCACTTCATTTGCAGCCGGTCCTCAGGCAGCACAGTTAGCCTTAGGTGGCTGCTCACTGCGGAGACAGGAGGGGAAGGTCAGCACTGACACCGGTGCCCAGCCAACCTCCTCCTCCACTGTGCCCAGCTGTGAGGAGAGTGAGGAGGATCTGCCTTGAGATCTGAGGGGCACTGTCTCATCTTGGGGGCTCTGGAGGGACACGGTGTACCCTGGGCATCTGAGGCCTTGTCCCCTGGGGAGCTCACAGGGAATTGCCTGCCTGGGGGCTGAGAACCAGCCCTCCTGTGGTCCTCAGCAACAGGACTGCACTGGCAGCTTCTGTGAGAGGAAATAAAATCCTGCCCTGGGGTGCCTCTGACCCCTGAGGTTGTGCCGAGGAGGGCAGCAACCTTGGTGACAGAGGTGCCAGCCCCCAGGGCATTGTGGCAGCCTGGGGTTTCCCAGTTGCCAATCAGTCTCAGGAGAAGCAGCTGTGCCTGCAAACTCCCTAGAGTTGTCAAGGTCACTACCAGATTGACTCATTCCTTGGGGGCACTCTGGGTGCAGAGTCCCCACCCAGATGTGTGTGCACATGATGGCTGCATGCATGCACACGCACGTGCAGCCTCAGCCCCATGCTAGAGAATGACTCCTGCTGGGCAAGAGGGGTGCCCATGACTGGTGGGAACAAGAGGGGCAGTGTGGGCCGGAGCTGACCTCCCAGGGAACTTCTGGCCTCTAGGGAGTGAACAGCTATTTTTGGAAACTGGGGACAGAGATGGGCCTCTTCTGGCTGCCACACCGGGAACTGGAGTGCATGGGCCAGGCAGGGGACACCCAGCAGACACAATAACCCATTCAGAACAGGAAGCAGCTGAGTTGGTCTCTAGATGGGTCCAAAGGGTCCTGGATGCCTGGGAAGCCTCCTGATGAAAGGCAGGATGTGTGGGGATGAGGAAGGGGCTCTGAATCACCAGCTGTGGGCAGAGCCCCACTCTTGCCCATGAAGAGCCTTTTGTTCCTCCACTCTGCCTCTGATATGTTGGGGGCCTGCCCAAGCTTCCACCCTGGGAGAACCTGCACTAGACAGGGTGATGTCCCTGCCTTCACCTGAGCACATTGTCTTGGTAGAACTGCTTTGTGACTTGGCTCAAACTGACAAGGGAGGCTCCTTTCTAACTGAAATCACAGTCCCTGTCCAAGATTTATCTCTTTGGGTTATTCTGAGCAGGAAGAGCTAAGGTCAGTCCAGGTGCCTCCCCACCAGAGAGTACTGGCTGGGAAACCAGAAACCGGCAGGGCCCCAGACCAGACCTGGGTTCGAGTTGCCCCATGGCTCCATGGTGGGCAGGTGGGAAGTGGGGCCAGATGTTGAGGTTGACCCAGAACCTGCAGATGCAGACAGGGACAAGGGGCCACCAAGAATGAGAACAGCAGTTCGGGGGTCACTTCCACCTCGCCAGGGAAGCAAGGTCCCCGCATGAACTGAGTTACAGTGGTTCTGTTGACAGAAACTCGCCTCCCAAAACCCACTGGACCAGTACTTTTCCAAGGAGGCACCTCCAGCACACACCTTCCCCAGGCCCATGTGCTGTTCCCCAGGGGGTCAACACTGAGAAGCTGATAGCAGACAGGTGCAAGGGCCAAGTGGAGGTGTCCCTGCCCCACCCAGAGCCCTCAGAGGACAGTGCAGGAGAGGCAGGGGCCCCTTATCAAGATGTGTGCTGTCTGGAAACCATGCTGAAAGGCAGTCACGACATAGCTAAGCAAAACAGGAATGTGACAGAGAATGAACAACTGCAGAGAGGAGGGGATGAAAAGAGAAACAGAAAACACAAAAGCACCCCAAGGCCGGGGGAGACTGCAGGCCATCGTGACGCTGAGGTGACTCACGGGAGCGAGTCCCCTCCGCCTGCCTGCTCTGCGGTCACTGCCTTTTAACCGAGCAGCCTTGACTCTGAGAACACTTGCTAGAAGGAAGCCAAGAGCCCGCCACAGAGGACTTGTCCTGCAGGGGTGGGGACTGTCCCCAGGACCCCCTTACCTTGTCCCAGCCCATGTGCCAAGGTGGTACCCAGCCACAGCCAGAGGCAGATGTGGAGGTGGGCTCGGGGGCTCATGGTGCACAGCCTGTGGGAGGAGAAGCTTTGACTCTTCACTTCCACCCACCCGTCAGTCCCCACTGACCACCCAGCCAGAATTTGTCCTCCGTGCCTCTGTGAACCACGCGGACAGGTCCCACAAACCCTTCTGGGGGCCCAGAGGCCAGTGACCTTTGGATGCTGTTCCCTGCTGCCACCCAAAGCTGAGGCTGCACTCGGGGCCTTCCCATCTTGCTCCTGGTATTCACACCCACAGTGGATGCACACAGCTAGAGGACTGAGTGACAACAGGACCTTGAACCCCCCAGCTGCCCCTCGCCCCAAACTTATGGTGGCTATGGACTGCTGCTTGTGGGGGTCCTCAGGCTGGGGATATCGTCTGAACATTGGACACATGGAGGGTCTCTGCCAGGCCCAGCCTCAAAGCAGAAAGGGTATCTGAGACATTAGGAGGTGAATGAGAACAGCAGCAGGTGCTTCTGGGACAGCACCTGCCAGGCCTGTGTGAATGTGGAGAGCCTGGGAACAAAAGTCAGACAGGGTACCCAGAGGGCTGACAGTTGAGATGGCCAGGGTGACCTAGGGACTGCTACAGGGGTAGGGAGGGGCCAGGGCACAAAAACAACCTGGTCTGGGATATGCGAGCTGAAGCGACCTGTCCCCAGGACTGGTTGACAGACCCATGCTGGCTGGCTGGGATGAGGGCCCTGACCAGCACACTGACTCCAGCCTTAGGGAAGAGGAAAGCACTGCTCACAGATGAGGCCCCGATCCTTTGTGCTGAGCAGAGGGCAGGTGACAGCACAGTCCACAGCCTCCATGGTGGGGCCAGGGTCCTCCTCCATGTCCTGATTGACCCAGACCCTCCAACCCCATCCAGCTGAGCAGCAGACCACCCACTGCACACCTCTCTCAGCTTGTGCTCAGGGGTATCCCCACCAAGCAACATCCCCCCACCCCAAGGGAAGACCCTGCCTGTGGAAGGGCTGCTAGCCACACAGCCCCATCCTGGACCTTATCCCCTTCCTGGGAATCGCACCAAATCTGGGGTGCCAAGCCAGTACTGAGCAAGCAACATAAGGAGACCCTGGCACCAGTAGCCTGGAGGAGAGGCAGCTATGGGCTGGGTCCTATCTGGCCACAAAGGATCCAGCAGGACAGCCCCCAGCACTCCTAAGCCCCTGAACTCCACCTAAGCCTGAAACCTCCACACCCTTTCTGCTGGGTATCACCTTCCCTGTGAGAAGGGTCAGTGAGAGCTCAGCTCAAGATAGCCCCAAGTCCCACCTAAAAGCTCATCTCCTATCCCAATCTTCCTGAAAGGCCAAGGGCACCCTCACAGACCTGAGTGGTTCCCCTGTCCACTCAGCTGAGGACTGCAGGCAAGTCACCAACCTCCTCCTGCTCCAAGCACGGTGTCCCTCACTCCCCAGGGCCTTCTGATCCACTCTGGTCCTGCTGTGGCCACAGTTAGGACAGGGCTTATGAAAGGCCCCGCCCCCAATATTCAAGCCCTGCCACCACCAGTCCCCACCCTCCTCTGTGCTGATGCCTGGGGCATAACCAAGGAGAGACAGTGGTCCCAGCACAAAGGACCCCAGTGTACATTCAGGGAAACTACCAGGGATAGCAAGTGCTAAGCACCTTACTCCTCATTCCCTGAGGGCTCATCCCCTGAAGAGGAGCTCACAGGTGAGGCCACCACATGCAGCCCTGGGCACTGGATGTTAGGGCTCTCTGGCAGCTTATCTGAAGGGCAGAGGCTGGAAGAGCTCTCAGGCTGCCATCAGGGAAGAGACCACCCAGCCTCGACTCCCTTCCCTCCTCCTGTGTGCCCCAGGACCCTCCACTCTGCACGGGTCTGGCGAACACTGCCCCCAGTGAAGCCCCCCTAGTACCTCTCAATGGCTCACAGTTCCCCTGCAGGCCAGCCTGTGACCAGTATGTAAGTGGACCCCCATCTCCCACCAGACCCAACAAGAACTCAGTCTATCTGTCCTGGGCCATGTCCCTGAAGATACTCTGTGGAGTCAGGGGGAGGTTAATATCTGTAGTCATAGCCATTGTGGGGTCCCCAAGATCTTGGGGGCTGGGGTAGGCTGCTCAACCATAGCTGTCCTCCCCCAGGAGAGGTCTGGGAGTCACACCCAGCCCCCAGCTGCCTGGCCAGTGCCCACTACAGGACAACCTGCTTCCCTGATGCCTCACTGATACGACCCATGTCTCCATGACAGCCCAATAGCCCCAGGCCCTCAGCAGGGACTGCAGAGATGGCCCAACAACCTCAGGCACTTCTGGCTCACAGCTATGTGAATTCATGTGGGGAGTCCTGTGCCTTTTCATCCCCAGACCTGCCCAGAGATCCCTCAAAGCTCCTACAGTGCCCTTCAGACCTTACTGTCAGGTGAGCTCTGGGGTCACATGCCAGGGACCCCTCTTCCTCTATCCCACCCATGGGGGTAGGGTAACCCCAAGGGCCTGAAGGAAAAGCTCCCATGGACCCTCAACCCTCCCACCACCTGGCTGGAACAGGGCAGGACCAGTCCTCCTTCCAGCTGCCCCTCTTCATTCATCACGCCAATCCTACCAGGCCATCTTCAGCTTGGTTTTTCTTCCTGCTGGGCAGCACCTGGGCCCTGCCAGCATGGGTTAGTTGGGGCTGGGGGTGACAACACAGTTGAATGGGTGTAATGAAGGGCTGTCCAGTGGCTGCTCAGAATGCCAATCTATTATTAGGAACTCAAGAAATGGCCCTGAGGTATGTACTAGTCAGGCTGGTGCCTAGGGTGAGAGTAGGCATCTGGGATAAACAGCACAGGCCCACGACATGGACATCTGCTGCCTGGGAGGTCTGCGGCAACCTCACTGCCCCCTCTAGGACTACACTCCATCAGGTTCCCATCCACCCATAGCCCTGTAGGAAGCGACCCTTTAGGGCTCACCAGGGTCCTGCTCCCATGTGCTTTATGGAACTCCCTTTGGTGAGGGATCAGACTCAGCAAAACAGTCTGTCCTCTACTGTGAGGGGTCTTGGTAGTGGCCTCAGTGCTTCCTAGAAGCAAGCTTAAATGGGGACCAGGCAGCAGGTGCCATCTTCCACTCCCAACAACCCCAGGGCAGATAGCCCATTTCCTAAGGAGTGCTGGTATACACTGCAGGCCCTGAACCAGGGCACTCCACCCTTTGCACCTGGGGATAGGCCTTGGGACAGGGATGCAAGCTGTGTCCAGAGCTCAGGCAGCTGAGGCAGGCTGCTCCCCCAGTGATGAGTGGTGGACAAGGACGGACGGGGACACACACACACACACACACACACACACACACGGCTCAGAAGTCCTGAGACTGGCCCTCTACAGAGCCACATACCTACCTAGCAGAGCTCTCCAAATGGAAGGCCCATCTCAGACCCAGATAGCTACAAACCCTCAAGGTGGACACACCTAGGACCTGGTGGCCTTGCCAGCACTGTGACAAGCACAGCTGTGGCAGGGCACGGCAGAGCGCACACAAACCACACAAGAAGCACCAGGTGCATGCACTGCTGGTAAAACTGAGGGTCAGTAGGGGGCGGGGGGTCCGAGGAGAGGCCCAGTGGCCCTCCCACCAGGCACGCAGCAGCAACCCATGGTGGGTCTTGTCTGCAGGGAACTAGTGCCTCCAGTCCCCAAGCTTGTGCTGCACTTGCTTCACAGTCCAACAGGCTCAGGGCCTGGGTGGGCTCCACTGCGTTCAGTGAGACCCCAGTACCACTGTGCAAGGCAGGGCACACAGGAGGGAGAGCCATGGGTGCAGCCACCAGTGTAGTGACCCTCCAGGTGCCTGGGACAGGGAAGAGCTGACCATGGTGGACACAGCAAACAACAAAACACTGGCCAGAGTTGTTCCTGGGAGCAGGATCTCCAGGGAGGGCCTGGAGCCTCACCTGCCCTCTTGCCAGCCCCCAGCAGGATCCTCACAGCAGGATAGGCAGGGGCCAACCTGCAGAGCCTGCTACCTCAGCCTACTCTGCTCATTTCTGAGGTGTCTGGGGTATTCCAGGATGGGAAAGTTCAAGGGCTGAGGCCAGAGCCCACTGAGCCTCAAGCAGCTGTCTGTGGAGGGCTTTTCTGGCAAATTGGGCTGGAAAGGGCTGACAGGATGGCCAGAGGTCCCAACAATGAGCTTCAGAGCAAAGGCCACAGGAGATGTGGACCAGGCCAGGGGCTGGGCAGTAGTACAAGCTCCAGTACTGCCTTCGGCATGTCCATCTCTGAAACTCCAGGCATTTTCTTCAAGGAAAAAAAAAAAGGAACCAGCTCAATTCTTTAAAGGTAAAGAGCACTTCCACACAGACTGGACAGCCTGATGGTGCCGGGCAAGGCTGTGGCCCTGGGGCCTGCCCCCAGCAGCAGCAGTGAGCCTGGCTCTCAAAGACACCTGGTCCCCAGGTCTGATGAGCCTGAGAAGCTGCCCCGTCCTGGAGTCCCAAGGGGCGTGTGCACAGTGGGCACGTGCACAGCAGGCATGTGGCCTTGGAGAGCGCGATCCCACATGTAAACCCCCCTGCAGCACCAACAAGTCTGGCCTGAGACACTACCTTTGTGCTGTGGCTGCTGTTTCTTGGGTCAAGAGGAAGGAGGAACTAGGATGAGGGCAAAGTGCAAATACAGCAGTCGCCCTGGTGGGGCTAGGAACTGAGCTGAAGGCCCTACCAGTTCTGGTTGTCCCAGCCATCATCTGCTGCCACAGACGGCACTGCCCTCTTGGTGGCCTTGGCCCTGCCCTCACCACCAGCACCCTCCCAGCTCTCCCATCCGTCGCTGTTGCTGTTCTTGTTCGAAGCGGAGCCCGAGCCCCACACATCCCAGCTGTCCGAGCTCCTCCGCCCTGTGGAGGCATCTGCGCAGGTCCAGCTGTCGCTGCTCGGGGACTTGGCCTTGGGGGGCTCGGTGCTCCCAAAGGTCTCCCAGAAGCTCTGGTCTATGGTGCCACTTGCGAAGGTGTCCCCACGGCTGTTTTGGTAGCTGTGGCCCTCCAGGGGTCTTTATAGAGAGAAGGAGGAACTCAACAGAGATGGCAACACCACACTCGAGCCATTGGTGGCCCAGGCTGCCCAGCTGGGGTGACTGCTCTGTGGGCCCAGCCCAGTGCTCTGCCTAGAAGGGGCTGCTGGCCCCACCAAGCACTTCTTAGCCATGCTTGCTGCACCAGCACCCACCGGGGGGGGGGAGTGTTACTCTCACTGTAGAGCAGAGGGAAGTGGGCTGGGGGAGGGCCACTCTGGGGATGGGCACAGAACCCACCAGAGGACTCAGGCTCTTGCTGCCAGAGCCCACACTTTGTCAGTCACTAGAACTGGAGGCTATTTACCAAACAGTAAATCAGGGAAGTGGCTTCTGCCCATGAGCAGGGGCACTGGGAATCAGGATGTACTGAGAGCAGAGCCCTGTGGACACAGCGCCTAGCAGAGGCAGGTCCCTAGGTTCAGGACGCTAATTGCCTCTCAGAAAGCCCATGAATACTGGGGCCAGGGCAGTGCCGTGAGACACAGGATCCTGGGTGGGGTCATGGCATACCTACCTGTCAGAGGGGTCTTCTGCCTTCCCAGAAAAGAAGGTGGTGACGTCTCGCCACCCCTTACTGCCAACTCCCTGGACCTGGAAGACAGAGAGGAAGGCTAGCCAGGGCCCTTCTCTGCATAGCACAATGGCTCCAGGGTCCTCCGACACAAATGCGAACGTGCACTACTGGGAAGACCTGACAGAGTTCAGAAATAAGGGTGCCACGTACCACACTACGCACACAGCAACACACAGTGCCCAGGCCCCACGCGGAAACTGCTGCTGGCTGGCTGACTTTCTGCAGAACTGGGGACTGAACCCAGAGGCGTGTTTCCACTTCACTGCATCCCTAGCTCTTTTTATTTATTTTCTAGTCAGGGTCTTTCTAATTGCCAGGTGGCCTTGAACTTGCCATCCTCCTGCCTCAGCCTCCTGAATCACCGGGAATACAGGCATGCACTACGTGTCACCATCCCCTACCTTCCTCACGGTTCATCCTAAGCAAGCTATTTGCTGTTGGAGATGGGACCTTGTGTGGACAGTGAAAAGCGATGGCCTTCACGAGCTCACAGTCCACACTTGGGAGGAGAAAGGAGACATGAGTGAAAGCTGCTGGCCAGCTCAGCCTTAATCATGGTGGATGGAAGGTCCCCAGTGGCTTCCCCAGCCCAGGGCCCCCAGGCTGGGCACCAAGACTGCACATACACCCCACACAGCCCCTATAGAAGTTACGGGGCTGGCAATAGCTCGAGACAGGCATTGGCACTTACCAAGGGAAAGGCCAGAGGCAGCAATAAGAAGGGAAAAAGCAATAGGTCAGTGGCTGCCAAATCCCCATCAGTCAAGCTGTTTCCATATTCCGCAAGCCCTTGGTCACCAGAAAATAATGGCCAATGCTTCATGGTTTCGTGAGGCACAATGCACCAGGCCTCCTCCCCCACTGTGGGGCCCATGCTAGGGCCTGGAATATGGAGACTGGCTTCACCATGCCCACACACCAGGTGGGACTGTCCTACCTTGGATGCCAACTGAGAGACCCCACTGGACACATCATCAAAAATCCTTCCCTCTTTCACCTGCACAGATCAAAAGGCATCATGGGGGGGGGGGAAACTTAGGGGGGGTGCGGTTTGCCAGTGTGAGACCCCTGGATCTGTCACGGGGATGACTATCATGTACAGTCCCACAAAGGAGACAACCCCAACTCCTTGGTTTCCTGGGACCATATCAGTACCAGGACTCCACAGAAGGGCATCTCCTGCCCCAGCTGCTCTGTGGGCTGCGGGCCAACCCTTACACTCAAGCCTGAGGACAGGCTCGTCCATGCCTATGGCTGGGCTACTGGGGTGTGAGGCAGACAGGAGGTGGGCTCAGGACTAACTGAGCTGAGAGGGGTCCCAGGGAGGGATGGAGGAGGCTGCTGGGCCAGAGGAACAGGCGGAAGCGGGGCCTCACAGGTTCAGGAACAGGTGGTCTGCAGCCCCCAGCACATGCCCACATTCCCTAGCAACAGAGGGTCTGGTGGGACAATAAGCACTTGGCCTTTGGTGCTGCTCTACCTTCTCCTGCGCAGGCTTGAGGACGTTCTCGTTCAGGGTGTGGCCTAGCTCCGAAGCCTGTGGAAAAGGACATAACGTGAGCCCGGCAGCACATGCCATGGCACATGGCTAACACACAGCCCAACACAAGTTCTGCTAACAGAGAGGAAGGCAGCCAGATGTGGGGCAGGGTCACAGCAGACAGGAGACACTGCTGAGGAAGGCGTTCCCTAGGCCCCAGCCTGCTTGCCCAAGGGAGCAACCTCCTCGAGCCCATGCTCTCGTCATGAGGACAGTGGGCTGGCAGTGGCAGGCTGTCTGCGGGGCCCTGCCTCCTCTCCTAGGAGCGGACTTGGAGGCACACCAGGAGGGGAGGTTCAGGCAGAAGCAGAGGAGAGCCACCGAGGAAGGACAGGCCTCTAAGAGACAGAGCTGCCTGGGGTGTGGCATGAATTCCCTGTTCTGGCAAGGCCAGAAAAAGCAGACAAAAGACATTAGGGGGAATGACTACACACACAGAAGTGTCCTCCCCAGCAGAGTGAGATTTCTGAGATGGTTTGGGTGGAGCTAATTGAACCTAATGAAAACCACAACAAGCCTCATTTCCTGGGACTTCCCCAGGTCCATCCAGCGCACAGGATCTGGCCCTGGAGGGGAAGCTGTGGAATGACTCCAGCCCAGGGAGGTAGAAGCGCAGCATACAGGGAGACAGTGCAGGGGACAAATGCGGGCAGAGTGAAGCAGATTCCCAGCAGATGTGGGTGGCATGCACCAGCAGATATGGGGCTTTACCGGCTCAGGCTGCTGCTTGTAGCCCCAAAACTTGACCCAGACGGCACGGAGACAGGAGAGCAGGAAGAGAGCGGATGGGAGGAGCAGTGTTTAGCACACCAGGCAGCAGAGGGCATACCCTCGGCTGAACTGTTCTGATGGTGGCCCTGGGAGGGTGTCCCCAGGCCTCGAACCAGCCTGGGCCAGGGTCTTGATGGACACTTTTCTGCTCCAAACTCACCACATTCCAGAATTCAGGAGTGAGACTCAGAAGCCTGACACAGGCTCTGGGACAAAGTGAGGACACGATCCTGGTGGGCACAGCTAAGGGTGTGCAGCAAGAACCCCTCCGAGGAGGAAGTGCCCACAGGCAGTGAGTGCTGCAGGCCAGAGGGGCCTCCTGGGAACTGGACTCCTGGTGTTAGCCAAAGGGCAGACCCTAAAATCCTGCCCAAAGCACAGTGGAGGACAGCCCTGAGCACCTTGTGGCTTGCTGGAGCCACGCCAGGCGATAAAGATAAAAGAAATGAGGGGTAAGCCCCCCATGGGCTGCATTGCTAAGCCCTGGGCCAGCAACCTGCCACACACTGGGCAGTCCCTGGCAGAGGCAGCCTCTGGTCCCCAGCTGAACTGCGCAGACACTGAGGTGACCCCACTGATGACATGAGGCCCTCTGAGCCACGATCCCAGCTGGGACCCAGGCACAGGGCCAGAAAGCTTCCAGACAGTACATGTGATGGCATCCATCAGAGTGTTTTAAACCTCAAAACTCTTTACCT